TAGAACTGAAATAGGGGTGCATTCAGAAAGACGCAAGGATTTTTAGCATGTATGTCCTTACGTGCGTGAATATTGCCCTGACATGCGCTGCGCTGGGATGTCTGAGCGCCGCGTATCGCCTCCGCCAGCAGTGGACATTACATTCAGGCCGGCGCGGCTTTCAACTGTATACAGTTCAGAAGCCCGTTTATACAAACCGTGACGAAGGAAACGGATCGTTCACACCGCTGCACATGAGGGGAGCCAGATGGATCCTGTTAACAGTTCCTAAATGAGTTCTGCACTTTCTGGGTCCGCTGACATTCCGAGGAGGCCACCAGATTAAAATTCACAACGTTTTGACAATTTCAAATAAATTTACACACGGCAGAGACACGGAGCTGACTGGTTTGTCTGCACCAGTGTGTCAAGGTTGTCACAAGGCTGTTTGTTTGAGACTGACACACTGAAACGTAACACCGTCGGATTGTTTGGCAGCTTTGTAGGAGGACTGAGGGAGAGACGCAGAGACTAATAGATTTATTTTTTTTTAAAAAGCCAAATGTAGATTAGAAAATTTACATAAATAGCTGTAGGAAAGTTTGTGACAAACGTGATTTTCAGGTTATGAGGAGCCAGATTCTCAAAGAGGCTTTTTAGCTACTATTTTTTTTTTTGCGATTTGTGCCACATTCCTCAAGAGACACAAAATTTAGAAGAAACTAAGTAAAGTCCATGTAAGGGACTAATGAATGTTGTTTGCAATATGTCCGGAACACTGTCAACAGCATCGACTGGACATCTTGTGCACATTGAAGAGTACATAACAGTTTATTTTTGCAATGCAAACATTTACAACAGGTATGCAAAAATAAATCATTTGATCTGAAAAACACCAGCGCTGACATTTAGGTGGGCTAGATGGTAGTTAGCAGATGTATAAATATTAAGATTGATCCTTAAGTGCATACATCCTAAAGCAAGGGGAAATGATATTCTGAAGAGTCAGTCAAGGGCAAGGATGCAAGTGTTGGACAAACTTACATCCATCAAGTTGACAGGCAGGAAATGCCTTCAAAGGAGAAAATATCTTCATCAGGAACATGTTTTTACTCGGAACCATCTTGGATAACGTAGCAATTACAGTTGTTGGAAAACCTTTCAGCTAAAGGGTACATAAAGTTCAGTGTTCAGCTGCCTCTTTCCCCCCCGAGTTTTCTGTTATTAAGGAAAAACTGCAGATTTTCCAAGCAATTCTTAAATCAGATCAGCTGAACCATATTAAACAATCAAGAAAAATATGTTCTGTCATGATCTAATTTTGGCATTTGTACATTGCAGTGTTTTTTTGTTTTTTTTTACTGAATAGCTCAGAGAGTTGATCCTCTTCTGGGAAAGGTTACTAGATTATTTAAGTTTAGATTCTTGCCAATCAACAACCAAGTGAACAAATGTAGAAAATGGGAGAGGATTGCTGTCCTCCTTCAAGATGGAGGGCGAGTGAAGAATAAATATATATATATATATATATATATATATACATATATATATATATATATATATATATTTTTTTTTTTGTTTTACATATATATATTATATATATGTAAAACAAGATACAAGTCTGTAGGAGACCATAAACATTTGTTAAAATACAATTGAAAACAGATGTTTAAACACCATATAACAGTTTGGGGTTCTGTTTCTCACCACATTGACATTAAACCATATTTTCTGTGTCACAAAGAGAAAAAAAAATACATATATCTAGAATGCACCGTCAGTATAAGTTGCTTTTTTTTTTTTTTTAGAAAGTTTTAGATGTTGCAAAAAAATAAAAATAAATAAATAAATAAAAAAAATCAGTCGTTATTTAACTTTTTTTTTATAGCTCATTAAAATTTGAAATTCGTAAAGTGCGTCAATCATGTTAATATTATACTAATTTATTTAAAAATGTCACATAAAGAAACCAAAAACGTGCATTTATACCTTACAGGAAAAGTGATTCACGTAACATTCTCTGCCAATAAGTTTTATTGTTGAGGCCAAGCTTCTGCTCAGCTTTCTAAGGACTTTGGAAGACTTTTGATTGCCTCGTTCAACCGATGAACAACTTTTGAGTTAAGCTTGAGTAAAGACAGATTGTTTAAAACAGCTTGACATTTGTCCCACCTCTTTTTTCCATTTGTGCAAACACAAAAGGAGAATTCTGACACGAGCATTAAAAACACATTACAACGACTCAATAAAACTGTACTGAATTATTTCATGTTAACGTTTCTTTAAAACAATTTGTGGTCTGTAAAACTTTAATTTTAACTGTGCGTTGTTATATCCTGCAAGCAACATGTGGGTAGTAAATAGTTACATTTACTTAACTTAAAAACAACAACAACTAAGGAGCTGCTTTGCTGCACTGCATTTTTTACTTTTACTGGAGTAGTATCATAAGAAGTGTAGCTACACTTCCTTGAGTACAATATTTGGCTATTCTACCCATTAGCTTCCCTGAATGAAGAACAAGCTTGTTTTGACCAAAGGTACACCACTTCTTGTTTGTTCATACAAAGTTTAACAACATAAACACTTTGCTGTTTTAATGTCATCTTCTATCTGTAAAGCCTGTTGCGGCATTTGGAGATCAAGTGAAAATACAGTAAACAGTAGATATTGTCACTTGAAGTATGTTGCAGTATTCTAATATATGTACATGAGTAAGTAGTACTGCAGTAAAAGTATGTAATATTTGAGCAAGTTTTTTTTTTTTTTTTCAAAAATACTTTTTTCTTGCTACTTAATACTTTTACAAAAGCAGAAATATATTGGAGTAGTGCTGTTCTTACCTGAGCCCATGTTTTGGCTCCTCTAACCACCTCTGCCAGGAAGTATTGACTCAACCATAAATTATACGCCTGGTTCTTGAGATTTTTAATTGTACGCATAACAAAATGTTCAATACTACATGCTTTACATTCTATCTGATATACTTTTAACGGAAAATAAAAGCATCTGAAAAGCAATCCTCCCTAACAGGTGATTGAATTATTTTTCCTATTTGGCCACTGCAGTTAATATTCATTGTTGTTCTGCTTAATTAAGTGGCATAGCATCTAAAAAGGAAGGTGGGACGATAAATTAAACTATCTTTTTCATTTAAGATGTGGGTCACTCCTGTTTTTATTAGCTCCACTGTATCTATCGATTGCTAGGTCAATGAGTCAGTGAGGTAGGGGTGAACTAAATGAAAGTGGAGCCTGAGTGATCACCTGCTGTGTAATGTTGTTTCACTTTACTACTTACAGATAAATATGATAGATACACATTTATGTCTGCTGTAATGTGAACTGAGTACACTGCTTCATCCCAGAGACCTCACAAATGGGGGTCACTGTCAAATCCTCGTATAATATAATTTTATTACAGTCTAAATAGATAAATATGATACACCGATGCACTTGACGCACTTAACCATCTGAGAGGATTCATTTTTATCTAAGAAATCCATAGGGTCAACTTGGAGGCCACGACTTGCAGATATCCACCGATTTTATAATGAAAGAATAAAAATGATGAGTTTCCAACCTGCTGAACAGCCTTGAACATAACTCAAAATTCCTTGTGCCCCTTTTTAACACCAGCTAGCTTCTCATACCACGGGGATCATACAATTATGAAATCCAAAACCAAATGTAAAAATGTTTCTAAAACTAAAAAAAGGGGGGGGGGGAATCTATTTAAAGCATCCCCAGAGACATTTTTTTATAGAAGTGTAAAAGTCAATCCAGCTGCTCTCTCTCTCCCTTCTTCTCTGCTCTTATCCCACCCATGATATCACGCCTAGTCCTTTTCCACCATCTCAATGCCCATTGTCCTATCCCTGAAATTTAGCTGCCAAAAATATAGATCAGGTTTTGGTATCCAGGGTAATTAAGAGTCCATCCATCTGGTTGAGCGCGTTCTTGGCATGTGGGTGAATGAATGCATGGCGAGGGTAAAAGGAATGTACATGTTTAGCGTTTATCTAGTCCAGACCCCAAAGTGCTTCACACTACAATCAGTCATTCACCCAGTCACACACACATTCACACACTGATGGTGGTAAGCTGCTACATTGTAGACGCAGCTGCCCTGGGGCAGTCTGACAGAAGTGAGGCCGCCATGCGCTGCACTGCATCGCATCCAAGAAATCCTTTGTGATTTCACTAATGCACATATTGATTGAATGCGATAACAACTAAGATCTCATATACTTTGGAGTCCTTGCTGCAGCAATTGCCATCAAGAATTTGTGGTAATTGAAAATGAGACTTATTTTAATTTACAGTGATATAAACAGTAAAAACAGGAGAGGCCAATTAAGGGATATTTTGTGCTGAAATTCAAAAAGCACATTCTAAAGCACATGCATGTCATCTGACTTTTGAGTGTATTAAATGTTAATTGCTGCAGATTTTGTTTAGGCAATGACATACCTGCTCCCTTCATAAATTGATACAACCGGTAACACAGTATACAGCTAATGTTGGAATCCTTTCGAGCATTTTCTTAGCTGTTGCACAAATTTTCTGTGCAGTGGTGTGTTTTTCTCATTACTTCTCTCACATTCTCAAAACAATGTAGATGCAAAACTTGCAAATCAAGACGTTACCCATAATGCTTATGAATTGTTTTCGTCTGCTTTATTAATATAGGAGATCCCGTGAGATACGGGATCTCATTTTCAAGATGGAGGGAAATAATGTAATGCAGATTACATTCTGTGTGAGTTAGTGGCAGTCAATATGTCATCGAGTAAAACTTATAGAAGATTCAAAAAATACCACCAATAGTAATGATGATGAGGAGAATAATGAGGAAGAAACATAATCACACATCCATCCACGCTGCAGGACGGGCAGAGTGTGTTCTGCAGCCTCACTCTAAGTGGACACCTTTAGTTTGTATTGACATATTTTGTGTATGTTAGCAGCTTTACAAAACAGTGAAAGTTCTGCTAACTATAATAAGGTTTTACACAAGGATCATGATATATCATGATATCTGTGTTCTGCATCAGTTTTAAACTACATGCGTTTGTCTATTAATTTTCTGGGAGATTAGCGGCTAAAACGTTATTGTATGGTACTTTACAGAAGAAATAACTAATCCTAATTCCAATCCTTTCATATTCATAAACAAAATAGATTTAGAGCTACATAATAAACATGAACTATATAGGAAAGATGTTGAAAATACCTTGAGCGTAAAGTGGCTCATGCTAACACTACTTCTACTTACAATGACAACAGGTGAAGTCAACCTTGTGCACATGCACACATGGATTCACTTCTAGGTGCATTCATTGCAGGAAAAAGGGGGTTACTAATGTATTCAAGAAAGCAGTGCTGCACCTGATGGCAACTGTTTGTTTGGACTATAAAATGCAAATCATCACCGCAATTCCAGTCCAAGATTTTAGGTCTCTAGTGGTCTTGTTATATTCCTTGATTTGAGAGCGTCTAAAACCTAGATATTTGAATTTCCATTTTTATCATCATTACCTTCTCTTAAAGAACCCTTTGCTCAGGTACATGCACACAAATTTACATTCACATGACTTTCTGCCGCAGTATGTGAGCGCACACACACACACACACACACACACACACACACACACACACACACACACACACACACACACACACACTAAGCAATCATCTGCTGCAGCCACAAGTTTAGTGTTAACCCTTGTTACCTTGTCACATCTCATGAGGCCCAGGTATCGGAGGGACTTGCTGCTTTGAGCGATCTGTGTGGCTCCTTGGTCTGTGATGTCTTTGCACCAGCCAGCATCCACAGTCTCTATGGTACTGCTGTACTGGCCTATGGCTATCAAAGCTGTTGGCATGGAGGGAGAGAAACGGGGGAATTGGGAAGAAAAACAGAAAAGGTGTTAGTGTGAAAAACCTTTTTCTCATGCAAATGTGAAAGCAACATTGTTCCTCAGGGACTCAGAGAAATTTGAGATGAAATCAGGGCAGATCATCTGAGTAACTGTGACACGATTTTGACGTTTAGTCAACACCTTGGAAAAAAATCTGCACATGCTTGCATATTGAAAACTCACCCACACACCCATGTTTGTTCAGACAGCTGCAGGAGTCATACATCAGAATGTTGGCATGAGTTGCAACACTGAAAGGCAATGACAATGACACAGTGCCAAAGCAAAGTGTGACTCGATGCCAGTGCATGATATAATTTTGCATGATTTGTTGGGTGGTGCCAAAGGAAGAAGCAAAGTGCCAGGGTAAGTATCCAGCAAAAACAAATACGTGTTTGTCACTGGGGGGGTTGTTAAACCAGCAAAGAGAGTGTGACAAGACAAAGGTTGAATTTGAATACACTGATTGCAACCAGAGATGTCATTGATTTCATATTTAAACCCTCTTTATATGGAGCAGAAAGATAACACAACAAAAATGTGAGAGATTTAAAAAATAGTAATAATAATTAGGTGCATAAGTTTGAATTTATTGTATAATTTCTCTCATCAATGCAGGGTCAAAACTATGCTTAAAGGCTCAAATATGTTGTACCAGTGTTTGGATAAATGTCCGGTAGTAAGGTTTTCCTGGACCACAGGGTTTTCTAGCCATGAACCAATATTTGCCATAAAGCCAACTGGATATATTGGATCGCTCTATCAGAAATTTTAGAGTTTACACACACTGTTTTTTTTTTTTTTTTATTTGTTTTTTTTACCACAAACCCAAACTTCAATCCTAGCCCACTTTAGATGGAAAGAAATCGGATAGAATAATCAACATGCCAGCAACCACACCAGGCCTATCATCAATAGTGAAACGCTGGAGCACCAGTCACAGCACATTCAACATTAACAAACCAAACGCATCATGGAGAAAACTTTTAGTGTAAGAGACCAATGTTGAGCTATTTATACAACTGAGACTCTTTGCCCCAAAATTACTGTAGAAACTGTTAACCACAGCGGTGGCTGCATGATGCTGAGGCTCTGATTCAAGGCCAGTGGTACTTCTACATCACACAAAGCAGTGGGAAAATGAGGTTCGAATACTACATCCAAAACTATTACATGCAACCTGAAATTAAATAATAAATGGTTAAAATTGTGTTTCATAAGGACATTGATCCCAGACACACATTTTGCGGGAAAATTGCGGATTATTCTTAAAACCTCAGTCAGTGTCAGAAAGCCAAGCATTTTAAATTAATTCTGTTAATTCTGCCAAGAAGAGACATAAAATATCCAGTAAGATTTAAGGCAAACAACTTATGAGTGGCTACAAAAACCAAGTGGTTTCTCTGCAACGTGCTAAAGGACACTTATTCCTACATTTATAAATTTCAGCCTGCAGACAGTAATTTAGTTAATCCATCCTGAAACAAATACATGATTAAAGACCCAACATTCCTTTGGAAATTATATTGATGCTGAGCGCATGGAGCCTTCAGAGTAAAGCTACATTTTCTTTCACAGTATGGCATTCCTCACGTGTGCTGCCATAATGTCTTAATAAAGTGACAAATTAAAAATGTACAGCGAAGAAAGTGAGAAAACATCTTCTCTAATCTGGCCCAGAGTCTTGATATATGAACACACAAATGCAAACAGACACACAACAATCTCTCTCATCAGTCTTTGCCGCATCAATTGCTGTGTGCATCCCTGAGACCTGTGCTCAATCAGTCAATTGACGGCTATGCTTGGGGATCGATTGGCAGTTCCTGGGCTTTGTTCTTCATTCTCACAACCATCGCTAATGAGAACTCGAAAGAAGACGGAAGGATAAGAGGTGAGGGAAAGATGAAAGCAGGAAGGTAAAGACTGAGAAAGCCTTTGACAGCCTCTTCAAATAGCTCCTTAGCCCTGATGTTGTTTCTCATTTGCAAAAATCCATTTTACTTCAACCTTTTTGTGCTTCAGGAACAAGTCTGAGACATCTCCACGTCAGTAAAGAAGAAAAAGTCTTCTCCTCACCTTCTCACTTTCATGACAAGCAGTTCCCAACGTACAGTATTAAATAACACACAGTCAGCACATCAACAATGTTACTGCACATTGAGTATGACTACCAGCCCAGTCAAAGTGTGTATAAATGTGTGTTAGAGGTGAGGGAGCCTTTTTCCCACAGGAAAAGGGAAATGTATAATCCTACGCTCTGTTCTCCGTGTCCCTGAATCCTTTTCCTGCTGTGTAAGGTAGACGCCTCCACACATACACACACACACACACACACACACATGCATATAGTATGTGACATATGTAATATATAGCTTAGGCCAGTTGAAGCACACCACATGTGGTTCCTTTTGTGCTCCATCATGCCATGCATAATGGTACATTATAGCTAAACAGGCAGTAAAGCTGCTTTGAAGCTACAGTATGTTTCATGTAAAAAAGGAAAATGGCAGGAGGCGCTTTAGTGAGCCAGATAGCTTAAAAGAACATGAGGTGACCAAATGATAACGTTGCAGAATATGCACACACTACAAACACTTATTTGTCTAGATTCAAGTAAATAAAACTTGAATCCTGTTGCCTTCGTCATTTTCAGTCACATGATCCAAACTTTCATTGCCTGGGTTCAGGCCTTTCATCTTAAGTGAATATACACATATCACTGCTGTTCTGAGGAAAAGGGAGATGATAAAAAAAAAAGGTTTTGTAGTTATACAAATCAAATGGGGGTTCTTTTCAACTTTTCCTTCACCAAACATACATTCCTGATTAATTTAATTCATCTCTGCTTCCCACAGCATGACAGGAAAGCATTCAAGGCAAAATGCAGAGATCTGCTTGATGTTAAGAACGGTGCATGCGTCTCCTAATAACTGTGCTGCGCTCAAGCTGCCTCCAGTGACCAACACATTTAAATCTGCTTCGTATATATTCCAGCTGGAAATCAATACAGGGAAAGAGAGACACAAAAACAATACCATTCGTTTATAAAGCTCTGAAATTGACAAATCAGAGTCAAATAAAGTCTTATCCATACAAATTTAAGTTGGCTACTGAGACTTGTTTGTTGAACAATCAACCAGGATATTTGTCCATCGTATAAACCAGATAATCTTGCTGCTTTCTCTGTTCGATCCTCTGTTCGGTCTTCTGTCAAGAGAATACACCAATTCAGCAACACTAGACTGCAAATCCAAATCACTGGCTTTAAAAAAAAAACATTTGAATAGACATGATCAGTTTGTTTCAGATCATCTGTGACAGAATTAAATAGTATGAGCAAAATGAGACAGACCAACACAAAGTATTGTTTTACCCTAGGATACAGAGTCTCAACAATGATTGTTTTCCGTGCTACTGTTCCATAAAAGGCAGGATTCTAGATAAATAAAGGTTATATCGTGTTACTTGATTTATTATTATTTATTGATTCCTAAGTCATACACCTCTACAGAATTTGCATTCTTCTAAACTTCTCATTCTCATTTTTATGGCTACAGAGCATGGCAGTGGTGCTATCAATTCAGAGATTATTTCTATTCAACTGAGATTGCTTTGATCCTAATCTGTCAAGTTTGGCACATACAGCTAACAATATACTGCATATTTATCAGTCTAACAGTCAGGAGTACCTCACGTGTTCGCAAACTGATCACAAGCAGCACACCTCTGAAACTCCATTCTCAAAGTATAATCAAAAGATTATGAAGGAATAATCTTTTCCTTCATAAGAAGAACATTCTCTATGTCAGGCTGACATAGAGAAAAATCTATGTCAGCCCGATAGATTTTAGGAAACTTTCAGGCTGACATGGATTGTGAGTGGAAGCTGTACTGGTTTAACTTTTCCTCCTACAGTCTGGACAGCAGTGAAAAGGGTTACCATCTGGTGCTCAACCAGTACTAATGACACTATAGTCATTAAACGGTAGGCCCTATGTTTTTGTTTTCTTTTTTTATCATTTAAGATATTGAATTTTATTGGTTTCCTTTATAGAAACAACTGGAAAAAAATATGTGAACATTTATTTTGAAATACCTGAATATATAAGAGTGTATTTTTCCCCCGCATGATTGTAAATGATGTAACATGTACATTTTGTTTTAAATACACCTACATTTATTTTTTCACAGTTTATAATATCGTAATGAAAACCGTGAGAGAAATCATCTAACAATTCAGATGGTGTAAAGAAGAGTACGACGACAGGGAATTGTCTCTCCTGCACCTTTACTGAGACGCAGATGAAGCAACATGCAAGAGAAGTTGAGGTGAAAAAAATAAATAAAAGATGGCAAAATCCTATTTAGCTGCTAGGAGCTGGTGACTACACAGTCACAGACAGTAATGAGGACACACTCTGCTGCCCTGCCTGAAAATGGCTTTAGGATCAATCTGTCTGTGTGTGTCTGGGTGGAAACACATAACGTTTATAACGTCTCGTCGATACTTTAAAAAACAGTTACATATAACAAATTAATAAAACAGATCAGATATTTGCTCTTTAGGTTCCCTATCCTGCCAAGCTCAGTCTCGAATTCAGAAGGACTTTTAAACTTTAAGCAAAAGCTAATTTCAAACCTTTCGGTTTGAAGCTACTGTCACAAATGTCAACCAAAGGTGAACATCTGAGTAAAACCACAAATCTCTGGTGTTTCATTTACTCCATTAAATCCCCAGATAGGGATTTCATAACTTATTGCTTTTCTCAGCTGAGGCAGAATATGTTTTCAGACACCATGAAGGATGAATTTCTTCCAACATGAGGTAGTTTCAGGTTAAAATAACTTTACTCTTTGAAACCAAGGTCAGGAAGTGGTCAACACTTTGATGACTGAAACTTGAGGAGACGTCCTCTTTAATCAGCTTTTTCTACCTTTGAAAATTACGTCA